AGATAGGACCCCCCAGAGAACTTGTCATTAACCCCTGTGAAACCAAACTGAACTGGAAACATGCGAAGGAAGAGGATTTCACAAAAGCCCTAAAAGAAGCAATAACACGCGAGCGACAGAAAGTAGACAACCTAAAGGGTAACCTACTCAATGCCAGCTGGAACACAGCATCACCAGAAGAGCTAGAGGAAGCCACGGCACTAATCCACGGCCTTGTGGAAAAAGCCGCAGCAAAGTCCATCCCCATAAGACAGCCCAGCAAAGCGTCAAAACCATGGTGGAATGAAAACCTAACCAGATCATACCATGAATTAAGACAGACCAAAGACTCACTGAGAAGCTGGATGAGAGACTTCAACCAACCTTCTATCTACCTCATGGACAAAGCCAAGTCCCTACACAAAGACATTCACTCAGAAATCAGAAAGGCAAAGAAGGATTACTACCGTAAGCTAACAGAGGAAGCAAACCCAAGGAACATGTGGAACTTCCGCAAATGGACGAAATGCCAAAGAACCTACATCTCTCCCCTGATCCTAAGCGGGACAGGTCGCCCAGTGGTGAAACACAAAGAGAAATGTAACATTCTGTGCGAGAACCTCTTCCCCCAACCACCCACTCTACCCGACGCACCACCGATCAACCTCACCCCCCGCAATGAGGACATGGAATATGTAAGCGTGACTAAGAGTGAAGTCTGCAACGCCATCTTCACAGCTGTGCAACTAAACGCACCAGGTATATCCGGCCTGACAGGCCGAGCATGGAGATGGGCATGGGTCACACTAGACAACGAATTATACCACCTCCTGAGACTGTGTGCTGACTCAGGATACCACCCTAAGATCTGGAGAACCGCCATCGCGGTGGCCCTCCAGAAACCGAACAGAGACTACATGCTACCCCACTCATATAGACTCATCCAACTACTGGAAGTCTCAGGAAAGGCACTAGAGAGAGTCCAAGCCCGCAGGCTGGCGTTCCTAGCTGCAAAACACCAACTATTCCCTAACACCCAATACGGAGGGCTTCCAGGCAGATCAGTGCAGGACGCCCTACTATCCATCACACATGACATAGAGGCCGCATGGAACCATGACAAAGTGGTAACAATGCTGACCTTCGATATAACAGGATTCTTTGACTGCATACCACATGCACATCTCATCAACACGATGAGAAAACTCCACATCCCAAATCCCCTAGTGAAGTGGATGCACAGCTTCCTATCAGAAAGGAGAGCAGCCATTTGCCTCGATGGCAAACGAGATGAACTGAAACTGTCATATCCATCCCCGGCCATCGACTTCCGGTCCCTCCGATCCCTCCGGTCTAACTCCGCTCCTTCCTCACTAACCTCGAGCTCCCATATTCCGCAATCCTCTCGGTACCCCTCGATGGTCACCACCCCCTCATTTCAATTTATTACCTACGCCTCCCTAAGTGCGGAGCCCTGAAGACTTCCGGACAGCTCCGCTGGGCAATACACTCGCCTGCCCTGCAGAGCCCACCTTCAGGCCTATCCCTCCTTTCCGTTTCTGGGTTATTGCCTGCCTTTCCGCTAACCCCGCGACCCGACTCGTCGGTAATATTCAGTCGGCTAATGTTTAACCCCGTTAGCTCCGCTCCGTTCGGCTCCGCCAATTGCGGACCTGTCTTCGCTGTAACCATATATATATCCAACTTGTACATAGGTTACACTTCAGTAATAAAATCAACTAGAGTTACCCCCCTTCGGTTCTGATTGCCAGTCAGTAAGTTAGGGCACGGACGTGTCACTAGGCACAGCGCTCTTGGCATAAGTCGCTGAGGCCAAAGCCCTCCGCTACGGAGACTCTCCCTCATCTCGAATCCGGTCTCTGACAGAAACCCATCTCAACGGGTGTCCCACAAGGATCATGTGTATCCCCTATCCTTGCCGCATACTTTACCTCCCCAATGTCTAAAGCCATAGCAGAGGCGGTCGTGAAGGAACTGTCCAACGACCCTGAGCTAAGCGCACTACACAGTAAAAATTTGATAAAATCACATCCACTCACGCTATATGTAGACACTGGATCCCTAGCAGCCTCAGCACCGTCCAGGGCCGAGGCAACTAAGGTGGTCCAACTTGCATTCACAGCAGCGCATGGATGGCTGAAGAAAAGAGGCCTCAAAACAGACCAGGTGAAGAACAACTTGATTCACTTCACCAAATCCAGGACTGGCAGGAATGCAGGCCCAGGCCCATCGATCACCTAACCCACAAACAAAGTGAACACAACCAGATCGGTAAACCCCTCCAACCTCATAAGATACCTAGGCATCTGGTTCGACCCCCAACTCAAGTTCACAGAACATGTTAAAAGGGCAGCCGCGAAAGCGACAAGTGCAGTGCACGCACTCAGGATGCTTGGGAACTTGGAAAGGGGAATCCACCAAACACACCTGTGCCAGATGTACCTAGGTGCCATTCTCCCCATCGCATTATACGGCCTACCAGTCTTCTGGCGCTCAAAATCCGGTGCCATTCTTAAAAAACTGACCACCCTTCAGAACAAATGTCTGAGAATGATAACAGGTGCATTCCACACGACAAACATCAACGCCATGGAGATAGAGTCATCTATCCCACCCATGGACATCTACCTCGACTACAAGCTGGAGACGGAGGCAATCAGGCTCGCCCGCCTCCCAGATGACCACCCCCTGATTAACAGACTCTACCCAAACCAAAGAAGAAACACCACACCCACATCTCCCCCACCCCTCCCAGTATTCGACCTGTGAAAGAGATACAAGTTGGACCCACGTAAGCGATTCTCCACCTGCATCACCTGGTTCGCCAAACACATTCTCCCAGGCACGGAAAGGATCAGACCCCTCCTCGAAAGCCCATGGGACAACTCCGGACTGGACACCATGGACCGCACCCACCTGTTCACCCCGCCCAACAGCGCCGGTGACTCATTCAAGCAAGAATGGGCCGACGACCACATGTCATTCATCACCGAAGGTGAGGAAGACCCTGACCTCCTCGTATACTCAGATGGCTCCCGCTATGAGGAAGATGGCCGAACCAAAACAGGCTATGGCATAGTGGGATACTTGTGTGGAAAAGTCGCATTTGAAGAAAACGGAGCCCTAGGCGAACACATAGAAGCCTATGATGCTGAAATGATGGGCCTGAAAACAGCCGCAGACCACATTAGACGCACCCTGGATGACGGTAACGTCACCACCAAACCATCCCACATTGTTTTATACACAGATAACACAGGAGCACTAAACCAGGTTTTCCAGGGAAAACCGAGCAAAGGGCAGGAACTCACAAGAGAGTTCAGGAAAACCATGTGCGGGATACTGTCCGAATTCACAGACGTGAAGATAGCACTTCACTGGTGCCCAGGACACTTTGGCATACCAGGTAATGAATGTGCAGACCAGTTAGCGAAACAAGGAGCATGCCTCAGACCCGCGCGACCCAACTTCAAATCCCTCTCATACGTAGCAAGTCTGCGTAAGAAAGAGATGGCCGAAGCATGGAACCTCCGCTGGATGAACACCCCAAACCCACCCAAATTGGGATTCCACGCAGCGAACCAACTCACACCGAAAATTAAGCCCACGAGACGATTCAGCACACTAGACAGGAAGACTTTCAGCCGAATCATCCAGTTCCGCACAGGGCACGCCCACATTGGTGAATATTACCACCAATTCGGCATTGCATCAGAGAGCAAGAGTTGCAACTGCAGGAGACCGACACAGACCAGGACACATACTATCCGAGTGCCCCCACGTCAGCAGATACCGACATAACCTCGGACGCAGCAACCAGACCAAATTCAATACTCTCATGGGCAAGGTGAAGGGCATAGAGAGACTTGCAACCTTCATCAAGAAGTCCAAGACGGGCGACAAACACAAATGAGACACAACTGGTCAACCCATGAGACCCACCCCCATACCACGGGTGCCCCAAACAACCACAGCACAGCAGCAGTAGAGTGGAAGCGAGGAGCAGTAGGACAGAGCGCTATTTATTTTTCTTTTCTTTTCTTTATCATACCAAATCCCATGACAATACCCCAGACATTACAGAACCCGAGGATCGCTGACACCCGAAGATACCAATCAGACACCATACCACAATGCTTAGATTATCCCCTCATGTACAGTTGCAGACAGGCAAATTCATTAAATTTTCTATCATGGGAACAACTGTGTCAATAAGTTTGATTTTTGTATAGTTGTACTCCATTTGGCCATAGCTATCTAAAAACACACTTTATAGGCTCCTAGGTCATTTTTCGAGCACACGCTAAATTTTGGACCCAAAAATTGAAGAAAAATTTGGCATTTCAGACATCAGCGAGGCAATATTGGCAATATTGGGAGGGTATACTTTTGTACATCAAAATACAAGAGTATCTAGCTATTTGTGGTTGCAGTATTCCTCGGAATCGCATCCATTGCAATTCTTGTGGCTTCGCTTCGGAAACTGAGTGATGACTCTTTTGTTTTTTTTTTACCACCCATTCTGCTGCTTTTCCCTTCTGATAGACATCCATAAACCTCCAAGTCTGATTAATGCACTTCCAAATTGTGCATGAATCCAAACGCTGGAGGGGAGTGGTTGGCATACCGGAAGCAAACTCATGTGATTCTGCCTCCCCATCACCGATTTCCTGCCATACCACCATTCCATGGGACTTCTTTCACAAAAAATCATATGCTACTAGTCAACAGCTTTCATTTGGCCCCCTTTTTATGCATGGGTGCCTATTTTCTAGCGCGACGCTAAATTTTGGCACTCACATGGAAATATAATCTTCGAATTCAGTGTCGGAAAGCCTCGGAATTACCTTGCTTGCAAGGTCACTTTCCGGGTCCACAATTCGTGGGAATCTTCACTTTCCCACCCCACCGATCTCTCGTCCCATTGGCTACTACGAATCCTGACTCGTGATCTCTTCACGTGCTTTTACATGTCCCATTCATTTCGTGAATTTATTCGTTTATTTGTTTATTCGTTTATTCGTCACAAGGTCGTGATTATGTGGTTTCGATCCGTTGTCCACTCTGCCACTCTGCCACTCTGCCATCTGAGTCCTCTCCCATCTGGTGCGCATCTCCTTCCCCAATATTTCATCTTCTACCTCCAAGATTGGACTTGCTGGTTGTCTGAAGAGCCTCTCATTGAATGCTTGCAAAAGTCGGATCGTGTCATGGCCAGAGCTTCACGATAACGCCACATAAGTGTTGAATGGTGTCAGCCCTCCTGTTGGTGGAGGTGCAAGATCGATGATGACATGCCGGATTGTTTGGCCTTGAGATAATCTGTGAAACCATATGCCCCTGTCATAGGCAGCTGTCGGTGCTTCACTGTCTTCGATTTCCCATCGACAACATCCACCCGATCTCTGGCCACTTCTTCCTTATTGACTCTTTCGGAGTGTCTGAATCCTTAACGTACCTGTTGTCAATCCCCCCACCTTCTGTCTACACCACTACAACAGCCGTTGCCATTGGCTCGTCTACCATTATCTCAGTCATCACAACATCATCAACTCCTCCTGCGTCGACAATATTCAGTGACTCTTCAGGCTTCAAAACTCGCAGGGATTCTGAAGGCTTAATCGGTGGCGTGATTGGTGGCATCCTGGCTAGCACACAAGCAAGTAATCGCTCCAGCTTGACTCAAGAGATGTTATTTTCAGGTGCTCGTTCATTTGTGTCCAACATAGTCTCTCCCTGTGGGTCAAGGGCTGAGGAAAGGATGGGTCGCCCTCTGAGCACCCGTTTCCTGGGCCTTCTTTCTCACCCACTAAATGTCAACGCCATCAACATTAGGTTTTCAACTGTTGTGTGATACACTCTTATGTAAAAATTTCTCTCCACACCGCACCGCCCGCCAAAATGACAACGTTATTGTGCGCGTCTCTTCCCTGCAATTTGAATACTTGTTATTCTGCCACGGGTTCAAATTCCCACAAGCAAGGTCGTGGCTGCGTAAGCGGCCCTTCTAGTGAACTCGGTTACCCAAAATACGTCGTTTTATCATGTTTCCAGACTTTTTCATGGAGATTAAAATTTCTTTCAGACTTTGCCTGTCCGCAACTGTACGCTACGGTGTCAAGACGGGATAGCCGCACTGCCACGTCATCACGAGGCCGCGGGGTAATAAGAGAGATTTATCATCATCATCATCATCACCAGTACATCACACGGCCACATGTTCCCATCAAACGGGGACAATCCCGGCTGAGCTAAAAGAACCTATCTATCCTGATATAGATAAAACTCCGGAATGGTTCGACATTTGCATTTGTTTTCAGTATAGTAAGTATTTCACTGATCATGTATTTCACGTCCCAATGTCCGAGTCCGTTCTTCGGCTCCAACACTGAATTTGCCATCAGATCTGTGGATATGTGATTTCGAACGCCTAGAAATTATCGACCAACTTGATCGCATGGCTGATAAGTTAAAGCGCTTGAACCGTGCCCCAGTCCATAGTATAAAGCTTATACACAACCTGTATCTGGTGTGCTTGTACTTGTGCTCGACCGGATCCGATGGCAACCGCTCTAGTTATCAACGTCCTTCTTGCCCCCAATGTTTATTCAGCGCCTATCTCCCCTCACCATACAACTGGTTTCGTGCAAAATGTATCTGATGATTGCAACGATCTCCGGAAGTGCCGAACGATGTGGGGCATTGTCTATAGCTGCCTCCTGACCATCTTTGCTTGCATTTGGACGGTGGTGCACCCAGATCTACCAAGGCGCGGTGGTGGTAGCTGGTCGCGCGTTGGCTTGATGATGATTTCACTGGTTTCACCGGAGGCCATTCTGGCATTTGCGTGTCATCAATCCTTGTTGTCTTGGAGAATATCCAAAAAATGCAAGATGGTCGAAGGTGTGCCCCGAATTTGCACAAGTTAGGAAGGGACGAGGCAATGACTTGTACTTGTCACAAGGGTGGACTTCGACGCATTCATACTTTGTTGTCATGGATGGTTTCTTCGACTCGTCAAAAGGAAGAGCAGTGGACCTGAACGACTTGCAGGGTTACCCCGGGATAATTGAGAAGACAGGGAATACCAGAAAGGCCGCGATAACAAAGAAGGAAATTCTTGACAGAAGCAAAGGCGATGGGTTTTGCAAATTTCTCATTGTCCTTCAACTACTATGGTTCATCACTCAATATGTTGGACGATGGGCGGGCCATTTGCACAGATTGCAACTCGAGACAATGACACTGGCATATGCAGCACTAAACGTCTTTGTTTATGCGTTGTGGTGGCATAAACCCGTTAACATTCAATTCCCAATCCATGTAACGCAAGAGTCCGCTCCTCCGACCCCCGAGACAAATGTCGGCCAGCCAACACCCAAAACGGAGACTGGCGCAGATCCGATGTCCCTCGTGCAGGTGTCTAAGCCCGAGTTTATGGAACTCTTGTTCATATTTGCAGCCACTGGGACGATCTTTGGGGGAATCCATTGCCTTGGATGGTCGTTTCCCTTTCCGACACGCAGGGAGATGATCCTATGGCGGGTTTCAGCGATATCTATCACAGTGGCTCCAATCTTTCTATTTTTGTTCGTATGGTTTGCGAATCATGTTAATGAGCGGATTGGTAGCGGTATAGTAGCATTTACTCCATTTATTTACGCTGCTGCACGGGTCATCCTGGTTCTTCTCACCTTCAGTTCTTTGCGTTCACCTCCGCCTGATCTATACCAGACCCCATCTTGGTCATCATTTCTCCCTCATTTTGGATAGCTAGCTGTGCATGTACTGTGCTTCAGGTTTAAATTGTGTTTTATTACAGGACAGCCTGATGATGACGAAGATATGCAATCGAACATGACCCAGTTCCATTATCACAAGTTATGTATAAACAAACACCACCCCCCGCCTCACCGCACTAGAAACTCGGCGAGTAGTAAGAGGACCTGTGTCTCATTATCAAGTCGGGTGTGCAAAACCGCCTTGTTCTCGACGGATCCGGAAGGTGCATATATACACCTTTGCACCCTTTCATTTTTGAGGTCTTTTCGGGTACAAGTAAAAGCACTTCAACGACTTTGACACCTTTGGTCCTAGCCAAGGCGTGCGGGGAGCGACCGGTAATATATCCATGCAAGATAAAATCCCTTCGGATTGTTGATAATCCATTTGATGACATTGTGCCCCACATAGAGGCAGCGGAGAAGCGAGCGCAGCAGCTGGCCAGAGAGGAGGTGCAAAAGGAGCGGGAGAGGCTGCGAGGTGGAAGAGCGCAAAAAGTCGATCTATTCTGAACTCCGAATGAGCTCATTTGATCATCATTCTTGCAACTATGTTTTGCAATATAGGGGCACAAAGCTGCTTTCATTCGGAGATGCAAATAATAAAGAAGAAGTCCATTAGCCATCCAGATTGTGCGTCATCAGTCTCTCGGACCTACATACGTTCCCACTCATAGAAGTAGGATCAAGTTGAGGCCCTCAAGACATCGAAGCGACGTCATCTCATGACCCACACCGAAGTATTCACCTAATACCGGTAAGGTCTGTATAATCAGCGAGGCGAGATCTAGAGGTCATCCGTAAACGATAAGCAGATGGAAATCGGATTCGAGTAAAGTGATGACTCTGGCTGAACCACTGGGTCGATGGTTGTGTTGATTGTCGGGCACGTGTAGATTCAAGGTTGTCGCCACGGGAAAAAGTAGGCGTTGAAAGCTTTTGTCCATCCAGATTCTTGATCATGGGTGAAGGTGCAATGACTGTGCTCGCTTCACTTTGTGCTTCCAGAGGGATGGAAGGCTTAGGAACTACCCAGGGTGAGTAAGAATGATTAGAAAGCGACGACGGCGTACCGTTCGTCTTTTTCTTTCCCTTTGCCTTTCAACGCACCCAATGCAGTCTCCGGAGTCCTTCGTGTGTGAGGAGGCAGTGTCATTATCTTCTGCCCAATAGCAGAAAGAGAACTCGCCTCTGCCAATCATCTCGCCAACCCAGTCTACGGGCTCCCCAGCGTTGTAGCTTGCGCAGGGGGGTAAGCCCATGAGGCACTTGACGATTCGGGCCATTCGCTAGCATTGGGTCTTCTAGGGTGGACCGATTGTTGTTGCTGCAGTACCTGTGGATGGTCTTGTTGGGAATAGGAGGTATTTCGCTGGTGGGGAAGTTGATTTTGTGGGTGTGCCGAGGGCGATGCGTTAGAGCTCACTCCTGGAGTTGGAGCAGACGAGCAGGATTCGCCAGGGGAGGGGAGATTTGGCCGTGACCCGATCCTGCCGTACTCATCGACATTTTGTCTCAACGCTGGGTGTGTGTGATGGGTGCCGCGCCGTAGGATCCAGTAGAATTAGAGTGTTGTGGAGCGTGCTGACCCGATGATTGTCTCCGTTCCCGGGAAATGTCCCAGAACGCTGTCCACTATCTGCGAAAAGCACATACAAGCTGGGATTAGGTGAATTCGCATACCTTGAAGAATTATCCCTGAGGTGTATTAATAGGGAGTAGCCTCCTCGGGAAGGATTCCCATTTCGTTGTACAACGCTTGAACCGAATCTCCGAAGCCTACGACAATAGTCAATCGTGTGGGTATGCAATCTATAGCATCTGGTGCCAGAGTAATTGTTGTGAACCGAAACTAGTATGAGCACGAGAACGTTCTCTCTGTCACCGTCCTAGTGGGAGGGAACTGTCGTGACTTGTGGCGACTCCAAAAGGGAGCGGACACGGCAGTGCGCGACGGTAGTCGTTGTGGTGGCAAAAGTAAATGGCGAGAATTCAAGCTGAGCCACGTTGCATGAAGGTGCAATAGATGGCGCCAATGTAAAGATATAGAGAAGCACGGCCAAGGTGATGGTATATGAAGTTATTTAGGAGATGGTCGTTGGCGCGGTACGGAACTCCCAGTACAGCCTAGAGTGGCCGGGGTTCTGAGAGTCGGTGGATAAAAACATGATATGAATGATGTGTCAGACGCCGACAGGACTTGCACTGCAATTCGGAGGCTGTGTTAGCGCCGACGATCCATACTGAACCAAACGTAGTGAATGGAAAAACGCACGTTCATTAATTTCCAAGAACAAGGACCTTGCGCGGCTGATAAAGCGCTGAACATGGGAATGTGCCCCAGTCCAAAGTACAAAGCTCATACTCGACCCGTATTTGGTGTGCTTGCACCTGCGTTCGACCGGATCCGATGGCAACCGCTTTAGTTATCAACTTGCTTCTCGCCCCCAATGTTTATTCAGCGCCCATCCCCCATCCCAATGTGACTTATTTCGTGCAAAATGTATCTGATGGTTGCAACGATCTCCAGAATTGCCGAACGATGTGGGGCATCGTGTATAGCTGTCTCCTTGCCATCTTTGCTTGCGTTTGGACGGCAGCGCACCCAAATGTACCAGGGCCCAATGATAGTATCTGGGCGTTCAAGTCGCCCACATTTAAGTCGCGCTTTGCCATGGTGATGGGTTCACTGCTTTCACCGGAGGTTATTCTGGCGCTCGCATGGCGCCAATTCTTGTTGTCTTGGAGAATATCCAAAAAGTGCAAGATGGTTGAAGGTGTGTCCTGAGTTTGAGAGGAAATACACAAGTCTTAGTTAGGAGGGGACGAGGTACTGACTTGTACTTGTCATAAGGGTGGACCCTGACGCATTCATACTTTGTCGTCATGGATGGTTTCCGAGTCGACCCGGTACTAGAATTGCCGGTGGACCTAAATGACTTGCAGAAATATCCTGCCATAATCGAGAAGACGGGGAATACTAGGAAGGCCGCAATAACAAAGAAACAAATTCTTGACAGAAGCAAAGGGGACCCATTTTCCAAATTTATCATTGTCGTTCAGCTGCTATGGTTTATCACTCAATACGTCGGACGGTGGGCAAGCCATTTACAAAGATCGCAACTGGAGACAATGACGCTCGCGTACGCGGCATTATGCGTCTTTCTTTATGTGTTGTGGTGGCATAAACCCGTTAACATTCAATTCCCAATCCATGTGATGGAAGAGTCCCCTTCCGTTCCTCCGACTTCCGAGACAAATGTCGATGAACCGACACCTAAAACGGAGACTGATGCAGATCCAATGTCCGTGCAAGTGTCTGAGCCCAAGGATATGGAAGTCATGTCGATGTTTATAGTCACTGGGATGATCTTTGGGGGAATCCATTGCCTTGCATGGTCATTCCCCTTTCCGACCCACACGGAGATGATTTTATGGCGAGTTTCAGCAATATATATTACAGTCGCTCCTGTCTTTATAACGTTGGCCGGATGGCTTAGTGATCATGTTGATGATGATTTGGGTATGATGATAATGGTACTTCTTTTACTTGTTTATGCCGTTGCGCGGGTCATCCTCCTTGTTCTCACCCTCAGTTCTTTGCGTTCACCTCCGCCTAGTCTATACCAAACCCCGTCTTGGTCATCATTCCTCCCGCACTTTGGATAGCTGTGTATGTACCGCGCTTCGGGTGTTTTATGTACTGCGGGATAGCCCATGTTTACAATTGGACATGACTCACCATGAGCGCGGTTGCGTTAATTAAGATTCAAATTCATGACATCACAAGTCACATAGTGATTCACTTGGCATCCGGCATCCCTGCACTGCCGAGGTCCTTGGATGGCTGCAAAGAGACCATCTCCGACCGCTCGAACCAATTCCCCCTAGGCTACTCAGATACAAGCCATTCCCTCGATGTCTGGGAAGCCTGCCCCTCGCATGAATAATATTGTTGGCAAAAATACCCAGATGGTGCGGCCAAATGCCGGCCTTACCGGGTTCGTGCTTCTCATCCTTTACCGTTTATTTAGTTGATTGTTTGATTCTGGGCGTATTAGGTTATTCCTACGCGTGGGGCTTCTGATTTAAGTGTACAGAGACAACGAGGGTTTGGCCAATCTGAATCTACTCCCCCTTTATGTCCAGGTAAAGACCAAAGCACAATAATCGTCATCTTTTTCTCCGTGATAACCCAGCATCCAACAGAGGTGACCTTTTCCGTTTTCGTCCCTGCCTTTCCTCTCGAACTTCTCTCACCAAGGTTTGAGGACCAATAACCGTATCATGATGTGGGATACAACTCACCTCCGTTTCTAGCCAGATAATTCACAAAGTTGCCTATCTGACCTGCAACGGACATTTCGGTTGCAATACCAGCGAAATCAGGATTGTTATGAAAATAGGCGGTTGCTCTGCGAGTGAACGCGGGGCTGACCCGCCGGGACTGATGGTGGTGGGGTTGGCAGTAGTGGATGAGTCCGGCGTGCCTGGCGTGGGAGACACCGATTTCGACGCGGAACCATAAGATAAGTTGAAATAGTCAGGTAAGTGGTAATCATAGTCATACCATTGGATTTTCCTTCCGTTCTCTCTCCTTAGAGGCACCTGGCAGTGAGGATTCCGAAGTTTCTGATGTCGGACGAGGCCGCGCCGCTTTGTTCTGACGCGTAACGAAAGGGGAATGGGACACTACCCTTCCACCTCTTGTACTCATCGATCCGCTAATCCTCAGCTCCCCAATTGGTAAGCTGGTCAGTGTTTCCCCTCGCTGCACCCGCTCAAGCAGATGGTTGAGCTCAGCAGCGCTGGGTCGTAGCTCAGGGCGAGGTTCGAAACACGCCGAAAGGCACCTTTCAACGGAACCGACATTGCTCCATTCATACGGAGGGCCCTTGGAGATGGCCGAAGGAAGCTGGAACGGGCCTGATACCCACTTATACGGGATCTGGTCGGTGAGAATCTGAACCACAAATCAGTCCTTGGGCTCATATTCCTGAGTATAACTTTCACCTCCGCAGCTGTACACCCAAAAGCCCAAACATCACTGGGTTCATTTCGCCCGGTGATGATGGCCTCCACTAGTTCTGGGGAAGCGTACCTAGGAGTGCTCATCACGCTCGATGATTCGGCGTGCGTTGTAAAATCGTCGAGGATGGAGGAAAGCCCGAAATCGCATAATTGTGCATTACAATCCGCTCCCAGGACAAGTATATTCTCCTGTTGCAGTCACCGGTAGATAAACCAGTACTAGGGACGAAATTATGGTTGAACGCACTGGTTTGATGTCTCCGTGGACTATACCGCATGAATGTAGATAAACCAATCCTTGACATGCTCCCCGAATCTAACTGACTTAATTAGCGACGGAGTTTGGAGTTGAAAAATCCGCAACCAACTGACGAGATGAGGGCGGTCCCCAAGTGGATTACGGCGCAAGAAATCCTTCACGTTCCCACCTTCAGCCCACTCCGATATCAGGCTCACACGTAATTTATCGTCAACAACGCGCTGTAGCGTCCAGCCAAGAAATGCTACAATATTTCCGTGCCGCAAGTTGTGCCAAACCTTGACTTCTCGTCTGAGCCGCTGAAAGGAGCAAGGTTGTAGCCAAGGCAAAGGAGAGGGAGGGAAACGATATATACGAACCCGAATAAACTTCCCAAGCCAGTCTGTGCTGATAACAGGGACTTCTTTAAGCACCTTCACGCAGACGTTCTGAAAGCAAAAGTAAAAAGTGCGGATTACGTCAGTGGGCGCTAAAGTTGATCCCCGAAGAAAGAGCGAACGCACGGAATTATGATATTCACCCGAATATACGTCACCAAAACCCCCCCAGCCCCTCCTACAGTTGAGATCAAGATCGACGTTGACCAAACTTGTAAGGTTGCGTGGATCTACGGCAGATAGTTCTTCAAGAAGTACAGCCTCTACCTCTTGAGACGCATCCGGAGTGAACATCAGTATAATTATTGACACTCAGTGATGCTTGTGCTAGTGCTCCAACGCGTTTTTGGGCACGAACGGACTTGAGGGTGTACTATTCAATTTTGGCGCTCCCAATCACCTGTGTGAACGGCGTCAAGGATGGTGAGTTCGCTAGTTAGCCGATGGATTATATCACTCCCATGAACATACGCTTGTACTTTGGGCATCACTTGGACAAAATTAAAAGCGGACAAGTGTACCCGAATTGTGGACTTGTCTCACTTTATTATCGGGTATTTATTCCGAGGACTGCTCTTGGCGCTTTCCCGAGGTTAAACATCCAACAAGACACCTAGCTACACTCCGAAACAAGACCTCATTCTTGGTGCCCTCTTTGTTTGGCCTTCCCATCGTAGGCGGGATCGAGAAAAGTGCCAGCCAGACCTGAATTATCACAAACTCCAGGGGAGAAAGTGATGCTGCAGGATGGTACCTTATCTCTATACGCCGATGCGGCTTCACTGGATTGTATGAGGGGTCTGTTTGACGTAAGGTCGGTGTTAAGTGCGAGGGTATGACTATGTGCCTCAATGGGCCGTCAGTGGAAGGGAATCGATATGGGCCACCATGTTCTCGGTGAAGCATTTATAGCAGCACAAGGCGCATCGTCTGTTGTATCAGATCCATGAGGACTTCGTGTCCACCTCTCCTCTCGTATCTCGTATAAGTTCGTATGTTGGTTTCGCTGTTCTACCTTTCTGTCGCTTTATGCGTGGGGCTTACGACCGTACAAATCCGTTCTGGGTGTGTTGTAAGAGCGGGGCCTCTGGTATAAATAACAGAAATTCAACCAATCTACTCGTTCCCCCATAGCAAAAGCACAGTAATCGTTATCTTCTTTTCCGCAATCCCCCAGCGTCCAATGTTCGAGGGCCAATGACTGCTTGATCATTGTGGGTTACAGCTCGCCTCCGTTTCCAGCCAGAAAATCCACACAGTTGTTTATCCGACCGACAACAGACATTTCGCTTGCAACACCACCAAAGTCCGGTTCGTCAAATATCAAAGTAAGGTGGTCTCCCCAAAGGGTGAACTTGGGGCTGAACCGCTGGGCCTGATGATGCTGATAGTGACGCTGGCAGCAGTGGATAAATGGATAAGTGTCTCGTTTGACGTGCCTGCCGCGGGAGACACAAATGTATGCGAGATGGTGTCGGTCGACAATCGGATGGGTAACATGGGTCGCTATGGTCTGAATTATCGCAATAGGCTGTTGAATTTAAGGTTGACATGACTTGCACTCTGCAAAGGTGTCGTTGCTATTCCACCGTTGATGCCTGCTACATGCGACATGCGCAGCAGGGGGCTGTGAGGGGCTGTGGGATCTGGCAGTCCTCAGTTACTTAAGGCATGCAGGGGTTACCTTATGGCTAGGATTCGAAAACAAAATGTGCTTGTGCAAGCTCCGGGACTGCGCAGGGATCCGCTGGCCTTGGTGATTTGAAAGCTATGAGGCGACATCCGCTGACAAGGATTCCCTAGCATATAGTACTAGCTGATCAGCTCTCTCGAATAGTTCAGGAGACTGATACGGAGTGAATTCATTAACTTGGCTTCTACGCTGGTGCGTGTTCAACACGCGCGTCTGTGGTGTTTAATTTCCGAATTGCATGGTGCGCTTCTCAAACTTCCTCGTTGCAGTTTGCCTTTCCAGTGCCCCACGGGGATTCCAACCAAGGTTCCCCCACTGCTGGAATGTTTCTCCTGGGAAATTAACCAAAGGCGGAATCAATTGTTTGCCGTGATATCAAAGTTGAATGCAAAAAAAAGCCCGCGCGCGTGGCGATTTGGACGAATGGGGCTGGTGATAACTCAAAATGGTAGCAAATCAGACCAAACTGAGCCTATGTAAAGTGAAAGTTGAATGAGGATACGCGCGGCCGCGCGGTGTGATTTTCCCTGCTTAATTTCAGAAAAGCTGCAGGATCTACAGGACGGTCGATGCCTTCACTTGCGTGCTTACCTACTCGACGACTGCATAGGAACCATCACACGCCGACGTGTGAAAGTCCGGGAATGGTTAGACATTTCCGGAACCGCATTTGTCCCCGGCCATACTGTATTAGCCCATTGAATCCACCGAGCGTCCTGTCACGGCAGTTAAGATCAAGTCCGATGTCCGTTTGATCATCAGCTAGGCACCTCACATTGAACTTGGCAGCTTCCCAGCCGTCATCAAAGATCTAATTCGGAACCCCTAGAATCATCTACCAGCTTGCCTTGAGGAAGTCGCATGGCTGATATAGCGCTTGAACATAGGGACATGCCCAGTCCACAGTATAAAGCTTATACTCAACCTGTATTTGGTGTGCCTGTATCCGTCGTTCTTGCCTATGGTGTGTATGCAATGCCTATCCTCCCTCATAACACCACGAGTCTCTTGCCAGATATATCTAATGCTTGCAATGACCTACGCAATTGTCAAACTATGTGGAGTATCATCTATACCTGTCTGCTCACGATTATTGCGTGCGTTTGGACGGCCGTACACCCAGATATACCAAAGCCCGGCCATTCCCTGTTGCCTGGAGTGTCCCGTGGCCCCTTGATGATACTTTCACTCGTTGCACCGGAGGTGCTTCTGGGGGGAGCGTTGGGAGATCTCCTGGACGCTCGGAGAATATCAAAAGGATGCAGGATGATCGAAGGTGTGCCCTGAATTTGAGGAGAAATATACAAGACAAGAATCTGACTCAACTCACAAGGGTGGACGGCTACGCATTCATTCTTTGTCATCATGCGTGGCTTCTTCGACCCATCCAGAGGAGCAGTGATTCCCAAGAGGAACGAAGATCCCTTGGACGTCCTCGGGCAATACCCTGGCATAATTGTGGAGTCTGGGAATGCTAGGAAGGCCGCAGTAACAAAGGAGGAAATTCTTGACAAAAGCAAAGGGGACTGGTTTACGAAATTTATCGTTATCCTTCAACTATTATGGTTTATCGTTCATTACATCGAACGATGGACGGGCGGTTTGCATCGGTCGCAACTCGAGACAATGACATTGGCGTATGCGACACTAAGTGTCATCGATTACATATTGTGGTGGCATAAACCCACTCTGATCCAACTCCCGATCCGTGTGACGAAAGATTCCAGCCGTTCTGGTCCTCCGGATGTCAATGCCGATCAGCCAGCGCCCAGCGTGGAGAATGGGGCAGTTCTGAATCTCACTCTAGCGGAGGTCGTTGGATATGGCCCTGTTTGGGCTAGTGTAACCGCGGGCATCATCTTCGGGGGGATCCATTGCTTGGCATGGTCATTTCCCTTTCCAACACCCAAGGAGACCATTCTGTGGCGGATTTCAGCGATAATTATTGTGGCGTGCCCTATTCCTTATGCCTTGCATATGTCAACACGACGGATCACTCTCCTCCCTGCAGACGATACTTATGGTTCTGCTCTTGGAAATTTTTTCTTTTATATGACTCGTCGCCAGGCTGCTGATTTTTGCTCTTACGTAGCTAGAATATGTGGGTTTCTCATGGAAGCCTCTTACGTCATTGCCCGGATTATCTTGCTTGTTCTTACCATCACTTCTCTGCGTTCGCCCCCCCCTGATCTTTACCAGACCCCATCTTGGACCTCATTTCTCCCACATCTTGGATAGATGTATGTACTGTGCTTCATATTCCAATTTGTATGTTTTATTACCATTGTTTACATTTGAGTATGACCTAGATGCGCCAGATTAAAAACCATCAGATCACAAGTTAGATAGGGATAAATTAAAAGACTCTCGCAATCCGTTTGATTCTCACCTCTCCCAGCATTAAACACCGTTTTTTTCCCACACCATTCCCACACATTCTTCCCCTGAAACTTGCCGCGGTTGGCGCGACTGGCAGGGCCGTAGTGGGGCCTTGAATGACACCGAGATTGAACGGAACAACTCCTAAGGGTTCATCAGAAGGGTAGCATAGTAGAACATGAACTTTCGTACCTGGCACCCCGGAGCTGCCAAAGCTTCACCCCTCAAAAGATGCGCCATCCGCGGCTGATCTCACCGGCGTTCGGTGAGTGAATGAAGGGACTTCTTGAGCCCTTCGCTCTGCTTCCTGGGCAGTTCTTTGCCGACTCCCGCTTTCACTGCCATCTTGGCCAAATGTACTGGCCACTTTGCATAATCCGCATGACCTCCAGTTCCCCCCAAAAAAGACGCCTAATCGTATGACTGATTATATTACTTCACCGGACCAGCCTGAACAAGCTCCCCATGATGAGCAATGCCCCCGTGCGCAACAGCTGAGTGAGTGGTGACTCCGAGGATGAACCTAAATCGAAAAGGACCGGATCGGGGCCTTCTCTTCTTCAACAAGAACCGACAGAATAAAACGAGCTGCTGGAGCAAAAGGAAAAGCAAAGGCCCTCCTTGCCACCCTTGACTGGTTCAAAGCCAGGCCGAGGGATGCGCGTGTCGAGGGACCTTCAAGCAATTGCATGGGTGAAGATGATACAAAGCCCGGAGAAATGGGTGAGGGTGGCGAGGAGGCCGCACTTGAAGTTGATAATGACACTGGTTGGATCAGCCATCGACTGGAGTTCCCTAAGAATGACAGGGCCGAGACGCATCGTGCTGAACATGATTACAAGGTTATCGATCCTCGAGCCAAGGCACGAGGATTACGCGAGGGGAACAGGAACAAAAGAGGTCACGACGGTCCGAAGTTAGGCGAGCATTTCGGAAAGGGAGATAACTTATCGTCTCAGGTTTTATGGCGCCTGTAACATTCATCATCTCATTCAATCCATCCCACAAACAAGCCACACTGAAGTATTCACCAATACCGGCAAGGTCCATATAATCAGCCAGGCCGGGATCGAGAGATGGAAGAATGCGGGAAAGTATTCAATGGGCGGTGCCGACATTGAAGGCTTGAAAATCACCTAGGGTGAGTAAGAATGGTAGGCTAAACGAAAGCGACGATGACGCACCCGATGGGAGCCTCCAGAGTCCCTCGCATGTGAGGAGGCAGCGTCATCATCTTCTGCCCAATAGCAAGAAGATAACCTGCCTTTGCCAATCGTCTCGCAAACCCTCGGCGCCCCAGTCAATGGGGTCCCCAGCATTGCAGCTTGCGCAGGGGAATCAGTGCTCGAGGATTCGGGTCATTAGCTAGCATTGGGTCTTCTAGAATGCATGTTGTACGACCTATTGTTGCTGGGGGAGGCTGGGGCAGGAAGGGGATTTGCTGGTTTGGAGGTTGGTTTTTGTGGGTGTGCTGAGGGCGATGCATTGGCGCTCACTCCTAGAGTCGGAGCCGACGAGATTTATTCCGTCGAGAAGAATTGGCCTTGACCCTTACTCATCGACATGTCTCGACACCGAGTGTGTGTGATGGGTGTGGTGCCGGAGGGTGCAGTAGAAGCAGGATATTGTGGAGCATGTTGGCCCGACGATTGTCTCTGAGCTCGAGAGATGTCCACCATTTGCAAAAAAAAAAACACACATATCAGCTGGGATTAGGTGAATTCACAGATCTCGGAGTGACTCGAACAATAATCCCTGAGTGGCCTCCTCGGAAAGGATTCCCATTTCATTGTACAGCGCTTGCACTGAATCTCTGAAGCTACGACAATAGTCAATCATGTAAATATGGAATCTATAGCATCCAGCGCCTGAGTAATTGTCGTGAATCGAAACTAGTGCGAGCACGAGAACGTATTCTCTGTCATCGTCCTAGTTGGAATGAGTGAGAGGGAGAACAGTTGCTTCACGGCAGTCCGCGAGCTCGACCCGGTAGTCATTGTGGTAGCAATAGACGGCGAGAACCGAAGCTGAGCCATGTCGTATGAAGGAGCGATAGATGGCCAGTGTCAAGGAAGGTTGTCGATGGCGTTGCCGATGTAAAGAAGCACCGCCAAGGTGATAGTATACGAAGTTATTCAGTACAACTAGGAGATGATCATTAGCGCGGTGTGGAATTCCCAGTACAGCTTAGAGTGGCCAGCGTCCTGTAAGTCATGAAGGATGTGCCAGACGCCAATAAGACTGGGGTTCATTCACCCTTTATGTAGTTTCTAAGAGAGAGGCCTATCCCCTTCGGGGATGTGGGGAAGGGACCTAACTCTACAATCTGCGGGAAATGCGTTTTCTCGCATCGAGTGTGAGGAGACCATGGCAATGACTGAGCCAACACTTCCTGGGGGGTTATATAACTATATCTAGTGCCCCAAGGGCCCGAACCGGCCCTGATTTTCATGACCGCGCACCATTGAAAGGATGTTATCGCAACAGTCAACCGACTGAATCTAGAGTCAAATTTGAAATTTGTTCGAAGTGAATGACGCATGGTAACTTAATTTCACATCGATGCAATTCGAAATCCCTGGAATTGCCGCATGGCTGATAACGCGCTGAACATCGGCAATCCCCCACTTCACATTATAAAGCTTATACTCGACCTGTATTTGATGCGTTTGTACGTCCCCATTCGAGCCGGATCTGATGGCAACAGCTCTTATCAACGTTCTTCTTGCCTACAATGTTTATTCGGCGCCCATCCCCCCTCACAATACGACTTGTTTCCTGCAAAATGTATCTGATGGTTACAACGATCCCCGGAATTACCGAATGATATGGGGCATCGTCTATAGCTGCCTCCTTACTGTATTTGCTTGCGTTTGGACAGCAGTGCACCCAGATCTACCACAATCTTATGATGATAATGTCTCGGTGTTTATACTGCGCATTGTCACGATGATCTGGTCACTGGTTTCACCGGAGTTCACTCTGGTGCTTGCATGGGACCAATTTTTGATATCTCGAAAAATATCAGAAAAATTCGAGATGGTTGAAGGTGCGCCCAGAATTTGAGGGGAAAACAAGTTAGGAAGGGATGGAGCACTGACTACTTGCCACAAGGGTGGACCTTGACGCATTCATACTTTGTTGTCATGAATGGTTTCTTCGACCCGTCAGAAGGAAGCGTTGTGGGCCCAAATGACTTGCAGCAATACCCCGGCATAATTGAGAACACCGGGGATACTAGAAAGGTCGCAATAACACAGAAGGAAATTCTTGACAGAAGCAAAGGCGATGCGTTTTCCAAAATTATCACTGTCCTCCAACTACTCTGGTTTATCACTCAATATGCCAACCGATGGGCAAACCATTTGCACAGATCGCAACTCGAGACAATGGCGCTGGCATATGTGGCATTATATATCTTTGTTTACGTGTTGTGGTGGGAGAAACCCGTCAACGTTCAATTTCCAATCCATGTGATGCAAAAGTCCCCTTCTGTTCCTCCGACTTCCGAGACGAGTGTCGATCAACAAACACCTAAAACGGAGACTGATGCAGATCCGATGTCCCTCATGTGGGTGGATGAGCCCAAGGGGTTGGAATTCATGTCCATATTTGCAGCCACTGGGATGATCTTTGGGGGAATTCATTGCCTTGCATGGTCGTTTCCCTTTCCAACATGCACGGAGATGATTCTATGGCAGGTTTCAGCGATATATATCACAGCAGCTCCTGTCTTTCTATTCTTGATTGGATGGGTTGTGGATGTCGCATGGGTTAAGGCATGGGTTGGGGATTGTGTCGCATGGCTTGATGATCATGTTCATGAGTCTATTCTTAAGGGCATAGTATTACTTCCTCCACTTGTTTACGCTGCTGTGCGGGTCACCCTGACTGTTCTCGCCCTCAGTTCTTTGCATTCACCTCCACCCAGCCTATACCAGACCCCATCTTGGTCATCATTCATCCCGCATTTTGGATAGTTGCATATGTACTGCGCTTCCAGTTAAAATTGTGTTTAATTACAGGACAAATTTTGCCTCTTCCAACATTTCTTTCCCCACTACATTCTTTGCCTCCCTGTACTGCATGTAATTATGTGCTTGATGGCAGTCCTACTTAATGCTTGTTCGTTAAAGACGACAGCATGTTGGAATACAAGTCATAGTAGGGATCCCACATCTGACGCTGTGCTGTTGACCGACATCCCACTACTGTCCCATTACAACCGCAGGTTCATTCCCACAGGTTTCGGGGATTGCCGGCTCCTTCTTGCGTAGTTCATCCCTCAGTGTGACATGTGCCATACATCACATGAGAATATTGAACTGAATAAAACTGAATGGATTTGCTGTTTCCGGCAACTCCCGGATCCCGTGGGAATTAGTTGTCGATACATTCATCTGTTCAAAGTCTTGTTGTGACATGTGACTGAACCAACGGTTGTAATGGGACAGTATTCTGACACCACCTCCCCGATGTGACTGTGCATCCGTTGATCTATAGCATAGCCCTGATGTAGTATAAATACACAATTAGCTAGGCTTAATAAAGAACATCTTTTGGTCTTACCTCAGGTCCCTTCATTATAGTGCAAGTGTAGCCGCAAGCGCTATGTCACTAACTGACTAGTCTCTACAACACAGCAATTATGCCTGTTGCTGTTGGTGTGACTAGGACTGCATTTTGGGTGATGTCAAATCAAATCAACTTGACACAGCTCCAACAGTGTAGTAATTTGCATCCATACCTGTGCTGCCAAGACTCTTCGCTTGAGTGAGGTGATAACTGATCCCCAAGTTCCCCATCAGGATTCGGCATCAAGTGAGTAGCCTTGGGGCTTTGCAATGTGAAACTTTGCTGCACCCTATGTGTTGGAATATGAGTCACATGATGAAACTGAACCGGAATAACCGGGAATATTCTAGGGGTTATGTTGGTTGAGCAAGACATGATGACACGCCGGTACGCATATCATGCCCATATCGGCTAGCCGATATGATACCCCTTCATCATGTGCTGTGTGTCTCACTGTTGACTGTGTTCCACATATAGCGCTTGCGCATATCTCATTCTCTTATTGTTCTTGTCTGATATCTGTGTAATTACCTTAACTACTTATACCACTGTGCGGTTACAATATCAAGTTCAGGTTGTTCCCCTGTTATCCGAGTGTCCCCGCTGAGAGCTACATAACAACAGGTTATGAGCCCAGCCTAGGGCTTAACCACCGTAACTCAAAACACTCGATCGCTGCTTACATCTAAACCTCGTGCTCAACTTCTAGTCGACCTAACCCATGGCTAAAGACTTGGTATCCCTTGGCAAACGTCTCCCTATCTTGTCCGGGAAGGAAAACTACACTCAATGGAAAACCAGCATGGAGGATATACTGACTTACTCGGATCTATGGGCTTACGTTCAAACCGGTTACATGTTGCCCACTGACGCGACTCAGAAGGCCACAGCTGAGAAGGCACAGTGCAAGGCACTTACATTGATCCGTCTGCAAGTATCACCATTCGTCCACATGTTCGTCGTCAATTCTCAGACCCCCGAGGCGGCCTGGAAGATCCTCAAAAGGGAATTTGAGGTGACCGGCGCCACATCCCGCATATTCCTTTGCTGGGAGTTATACACAACTCGCATGGCCGAAGATGACAACCTGGACATGCATATCCAGAAGATGTGCACAATCTATAATAATCTGCGCATAGCCAGTGATAACATTCAAGACTCAGAGTTTGTAATGGCGTTACTTATCTCACTCCCCACCTCCTGGGATAGCTTCACCTCTACCATTGAACTCAAAGATCTTGACTCTACGGACACTGCTGTGAAGAGCGCCACTGCTGATTACATCCTTAACAGGATTAAAGGCGAAGCCAATCGTTGTCAATCGTGCAATACAGAGCCATCCAACTCCGCATTCAATTCCAAATCTGACCAACCAAACAAAGACAAACAGAAACCCGATCGA